CCCAGCCAGCGAACGCTGGCTGGGGAATTCTGGGAGTTGAAGTCCAGACATCTTCAAGTTGCCAAGGTTGAGAAACACTGCTATAGAGTAGGGTTGGGGAACTATGGCCCCTTTGTGACCTGTGGACTTCAACTCCCAGAATTCCTGAGCCAGCCATGCTCCCCACTCTTTCTATAGGGTAAGACCATTAGGGTGGAACACTGAATGACTTGAGCATGACACCTACCATCTAAATTTAGTTATTTATCTACAGGACGTTTTTGACTTACAGTTATAATCAGAATTTATGTTGCTAATAAGGTGGTTAAGTGACCTGTTCTGCTACCATTGTTAAGTAAATTACTGCAGTTCACATGATTGTTAAGCAAATCTTGACTTCCCCCATTGACTTGGCTTGTCAGAAGCTGGTGGGGAAGGTCACAAATGGGGATCACATGACCCTGGGATGTTGCAATTATTATAAAGCAAGCCTCTCAATTTGATCACAGATGCTGCAATGGTTATAAGTGTGAGGACCAATAAGAAGTCACTTTCTTCAGTGAACTTTGGACTGTCGGTAAACAATTGGTTATAAGTCAAGAACTATCTGTATTCGTCCCTTAAATTTTTATCTCATCTTTCCCCTGGGAGCTTGAGATAACATACATAATGCTCTCTCCGTGATGTGCCCTCTCCCCAACAACAACTCTGTGAAGTTGAAATACATCTTAAAATTGCCGAGATTGAGAACCTTTGCTTTAAAACTGTCTTTGCCAACACGGTGCCCTATGGGTGGCCTTCAGCCGTCCAATGTTAGGCCTAACCTTAACTGTGAAGAAGATGTTCTCAAGCAGTCTTTGATTTAATGCATGTTTCCCACCAGAGGTGGGTTCCTACCTATTCGGTCCGGTTTGGCTGAATAGATAATAACTCTGGCAGACACAGGGCCATACCAGTTCTATCCTTGGCGGCGCCATCTTGATTTTCTATTCTGCACATGCACAGAACAATCTTCATTGAAAAAATGTAAATTTTTATTCCCTTTTTAGTGTTGTGCGCATGCACAGATCATATTAAGTGCAAATGTGCATGCGCGCAGAGCAAAAAAATTTGGGCGCCAAGCCGGTAGTAATGGAGGCTGTAGCCCACCCCTGCTTCCCACTCCTTCTAGGTCTGAATGAGGCTTTCCCAGCTAACATTTGTGGAAAAAGGAGTTACCAAAAAGAAGAAAGCTTCAGTGGCAGCTTGCCTTGCCATGGTTTGATCATTGGGAGTTGTAGTGCATCGGTACAGAAGGTGCACTATCACTGGGGACTTAGTGTCGGCATTCCTATAAAGCAAACAAGGTTTATGCATTGTGCAATTTCAAAAATCTGGTTAATACCAGTTTAGGTCTGATAATAATTCCTCCCCTAATGAGCCCAGTTGCATGATTTAGGAAAAGGGTCTTAAATATTTGCTGACATAATATCCATGCACTCAGTTTAAAGTACAGGTGGTCTTCAACTTACAATCACAATTGAGTCCAACATTTCTGCAGCTATGTGAGACATTTATTAAATGAGCTTGCTCCATTTTATGTCCTTTTTTTAATATATATTTTTTTTATTTTTTTTTGTAAATGTGTTTTTTATTTTCCATTTTCATTTTCGTACAGTCACATATATACTGTGCATAACCAGGG